ATACCTCACACCATGCACAAAAACTAACTCAAAATGGATCAAAGACCTAAATATAAAATCTAAAATGATAAAGATCATGGAAGAAAAAATAGGGACATTGCTAGGAGCCCTAATACGTGGCATAAACAGAATGCAAGACATAACTAGCAATGCACAAACATCAGAAGAGAAACTAGATAACTGGGAGCTCGTAAAAATCAAACACTTATGCTCATCAAAAGACTTCACCAAAAGAGTAAACAGGCAACCTACAGACTGGGAAAAAATTTTTGGCTATGACACATTCGGTCAGGGTCTAATCTCTAAAATCTACAAGATACTGCAAAACCTCAACAACAAAAAGACAAATAACCCAGTGAAAAAATGGGCAAAAGATATGAACAGGCACTTCACCAAAGAAGACATTTAGGCAGCTACCAGATACATGAGGAAATGCTCACGATCATTAGCCATTAGAGAAATGCAAATCAAAACTGGAATGAGATAACCATCTCACCCCAACAAGGCTAGCATTAATCCAAAAAACACAAAATAATAAATGCTGGAAAGGTTGTGGAGAGAGTGGAACACTTATACACTGCTGGTGGGAATGTAAAATGGTACCACCACTTTGGAAATCGATTTGGCACTTGCTTAAAAAGCTAGAAATAGAAGTACCATACGATCCAGCAATCCCACTCCTTAAAATATATTCTAGAGAAATAAGAGCCATCACACGAATAGATATATGCTCACTCATGTAATTTCAGCACTGTTCATGATAGCAAAGAGATGGAAATAACCTAGGTGCCCATCAGTGGATGAATGGATAAACAAATTATGGTCTATTCATACAGTGGAATACTACGCAGAGAACAATGATGAATCCTTGAAACATCTCACAACATGGATGAATCTGGAAGGTGCTGAGTGTAATTAGTCAGTCACAAAAGGACAAATATTGTATGAGACCAGTATTATAAGAACTGAAGAAAAGGTTTAAACACAGAAGAAAACTTTATTTGATGGTTACGAGGGTGGGGAGGGAGGGAGAAGGAAATTCACTAATAGATAGTAGACAAGAGTTATCGTAGGTGAAGGGATGGACAACACATAATACAGGGGCAGTCAGCACAACTGGACTAAAGCAAAAGCTAAAAAGTTTCCTGAACACAACCAAACACTTCGTGGTACAGAGTAGCAGGGGCAGGGATCTGGGAACTATGGTTTCAGGGGACATCTAGGTCAATTGGCATCACAAAGTTTATCAAGAAAATGTTTCTGCATCCCACTTTGGTGAATGGCGTCTGGGGTCTTAAAAACTATCGAGTGGCCATCTAAGATGCATCAGTTGGTCCCAACCCACCTGGAGCAAAGGAGAATGAAGAATACCAAAGACACAAGGAAAGTATTAGCCCAAGAGACAAAAAGGGCCACATAAACCAGAGACTTCATCAGCCTGAGACCAGAAGAACTGGTTGGTGCCCAGCTACCACCAGTGACCGCCCTGACAGGGAACACAACAGAGAGTCCCTGACGGAGCAAGAGAAAAGTGGGGTGCAGAGCTCAAATTCACGTGAAAAGATCAGATTTGGTGGTCCAACTGAGACTGGAGGAACCCCAGAAGACATGGCTCCTGGACTCTCTGTTAACCCAGAACTAAAACCATTCCCGAAGCCAACTCTTCAGACAAAGATTAGACTGGACTATAAAACATAAAACGATACTCGTGAAGAGTGTGCTTCTTAGTTCAAGTAGATACACGAGACTAAATGGGCAACACCTGTCTAGAGGCGAGATGAGAAGGCAGAAAAGGATAGGAGCTGGTTGAATGGACACGGGAAATCCAGGGTGCAAAGGGGGAGTGTGCTGTCACATTATAGGGATAGCAACTAGGGTCACATAACAATATGTGTATACATTTTTGTATGAGAAACTAACATGAGGTGTAAACTTTCACCTAAAGCACAATAAAAAATAAAATAACAAAAAGATTACAGCCTGGGAAACCCTATGGGGCAGTTCTGCTCTGTCATATAGGGTCGCTATGAGTCGAAATCAACTCAGTGGCACACAACTACAATAGTGCCCCCAATTCCACCTTAACCCCTTGCAGAACTATTCACATGATACTGTAATTACATGGAAGTAAGTTGAGAAATAAATGGCAATTTCCTACCCTTTGTATGCATATGACTTTGCAGAAAGTGTTTGTCACCTACCCAACATTCATTCCTCCCTTCTTTCTTGCTATAAGGACCCACTTTTGCTTCAGTGATGTATCTCCTCTCACAGGACTCAAGGGAAGGTAGCAGTGGTCCGCTAAAACAAGTTCTTACCAGCTCATGACAGTTGATTGCTAAATTTTCAGAAAGTTTGCAAGTCAGATAAACAGCCATTATCAAAATAAAATTGTATAAAGGTAATAAATACTCAAAACTCATCGTTTTCTAGTTATTTTACTACATTGAACTATTATCTATGCTCCTAAGATTATGTGTATCTATTATATCTGTATGGCTGAAATAATATATAATGGTGCGCACATCTCTTCCAAACTCCATGTCCGGTAATAACACATTGGTAGCTTAAAATTGGTCATGGAAGGTGTATTTACACCACAGAAGTTGGTACATGCTATAAATCAGGGTCTTATTGTTTCCCAGGGTGAGCTAGTTTAACATTTACTAGCACACAATTGGATAGCCCTGTCTCCAGTTTCAGGGGAAGATTCTAATTGATCTAAGTCAAACATGGTAGCTCCATTTATTTCCCTTAGGCATGTGACCTAATTCTGGCCAATGAGGCATGAGAGTTGCTTTGCTCAAGGGTTTCTGAGAAATTTTTTCTTACTTCTAAAACGGAGACAGAAGGTAGAGATGGGCTTTTTCTGCTCCTGGCCATATTATGTCTGGATGTGGCATATTTGGACTTACAGCAGCTATCTCATAACCATGTCAAGGCAGGATACACAGGCTTGCATTCATATGTATTTTGGTTTTGTTCTTTATTTTTGTTTTTGGTTTTTTGGACCTCATGTTCAGAAAAAAATTAACATGCATTTTTTCATTTTCTCTTCTAGAGGGGACCCTGATAGATGTGACATCTGGGGGAATACTCCTCTACATTATGCAGCCTCCAATGGCCATGCCCACTGTGTCTCATTCCTGGTCAACTTTGGTGCCAACATCTTTGCCCTTGACAATGACTTGCAGACTCCACTGGATGCTGCTGCCAGCAGGGAACAGAATCAATGTGTTGCTCTCCTGGATAAGGCAGCCACTTCCCAGAATATCATGAACCCCAAGAAGGTCACTAGGCTGAAGGAGCAGGCTCAGAAGAATGCCAGGAGGCAGATCAAAGAGTGTGAGAGACTCCAGGAGAAGCACCAAAATAGGATGGCTCGCGTGTACAGCAAAGAGGAATCTGGGACTCTTTCTTCCTCCAAGGGCTCCTCCAGGTCATCCTTTTCAAATGCTTCTACTTCTGGCACATTTGGGTCCTTCTCAAAGGGCATTAAAGACACCTTCAAGATAAAGTTCAAGAAGAACAGAGATACAGCAGAGCAGGTAGGGAAGGAGGGGAGAAGTGGGCAGAGGAATGTGATGGAAGTGTTCAGAGAGGAGAAGGAATACTCACTCTCTGGGGACTTCAAAGATAAGCTCCAGTTCTCAGGAGAGGAGGACAACTGTGAGCAACATGAATCCATTCTCAATCGTCCAGGTCTAGGAAATATTGTTTTTAGAAGGAACACAGTGCTGAGCCTTGAAGACTTTTCAGACAGCAAGAGGGAGTTTGGGCTTAAAATGTCCAGTGAATTGCTTCAGAGACAAGGAGCAGCAGAGGCTGACAAAGCTGAGGCTGATGAAGAGGAAAAGGAAAATGACCATGATGATGATCTGCCTTGGGATAAGGATGAAGTAGAGTGGGAGGAAGATGTGGTTGATGCTACTCCCCTGGAAGTGTTCTTACAGTCCCATCACCTGGAAGAGTTCCTCCCCATTTTCATGAGAGAGCAGATTGATCTAGAAGCTCTGTTGCTTTGCTCAGATGAGGACCTTCAAAGCATACAAATGCAGCTGGGTCCCAGGAAGAAAGTTCTTAATGCCATAAATAGAAGGAATCAGGTGCTACAGCAACCTGGACAGCTAGTTGACACCAGCCTCTGATGGAGAGTATTGGGTCAACAGAGGTGAGCCTGCAGTGGTGGGGTGATGGTGTGACCCACTGGAAGCACTGAGCACCCCTTTTCTACCCAATGCCAGACCACTGAGAAGAGTTTCTAGGGGTTCAGAGCTGCCAGGCTAAGAAAGAGACCCAGCTGTACTTTAGGACATGCTCTATGCCCATCCAAATAAACCACCAGTAAGAAACTCAAGGAGACCTGGGAACAAGAAAGTGATGTGTCTCTCTTCAATAGTCTTTTTGTTATTTTTTGAATAAAGAAAAGATCAAGTGGATGACAGTGAACAGAAAGATGCTTTTTTTCCCCCCAACTCTGGACTTATAATTAATTATAATTATTATATCTTTTTATCACACTAGCCTGCTGATTACGTTTGATTGTCACAGCCTGGGGATTCTAACCCCATTCTGTCCTTAGCTCTATGACTGCCTGTTGGGGGAGATTAAAGTTCCTCCATTGGCCTGAGGCTTGGTGCCCAGTTGAAATGTTTATGTTTACAAGTAGTGGAAATGGGTCTATAATACCCCTACCTGAGAACAGAGCCAGGGTGGAAGACGTAGGGAATTAAGAGAGAAATAAAATCTAGGGTACCACAGTGGTTAAGAGCTGGGTTGCTAACTAAGAATTAGGTAGTTCGAATCCACCAGCTGCTCCTTGGAAACCCTATGGGACGGTTTTACTCTGTCCTGTAGGGTTGCTATGAGTCAGAATTGACTTAATGGCAATGAGTTTGGGTTTTTTTGAGAAGCAAGAGGGAGGAGACCTGGTGGCGCAGTGGTTAAAGCACTCAGCTGCTAACCAGCCAAAAGGTCAGCGGTTTGAACCCACGAGCTGCTATGTGGAAGATGTGGGAGTCTGCTTCTGTAAAGTTTTACAGCCTTTGAAGCCCTGTGTGGCAGTTCTTCTCTGTCCTGTAGGGTTGCTATGAGTTGGAATCGACTCGACGGCAGTGGGTTTGGTTTGGTTTTGGTTTAAGTAAGACAGTGGGGACAGAAGGAAATAAGGAGACAGAAGAAAAAAAGTGACCTATTTGATAATTTTTCTTAGGGTAAGCGCCTCCTGAACTTACAAAAGTAAAAAAAAAGACAACTACATTCTTTGCAGGGAAGATTCAGTTGCAAAAGTAAGTTTTACATTTCCATGCTCAGTATGTACATATCCTTTGTTTGCTGTTGTCTGTCACCATTGTGGAGCCCTGGTGGCGCAGTGGCTAAGATCTATGGCGAGCTACGGCTGCTAACCAAAAGGTCGGCGGGTCGAATCCACCAGTCGTTTCTTGGAAACCCTATGGGGCAGTTCTGCTCTGTCTTACAGGGTCACTGTGAGTCGGAATCGACTCAGTGGCAGTGGGGTTGATTTGGGGTTTTTATTACCATTGCTGCGTATCTGAATACAATGTATTCTGACAGTTTTTAAATGGCAATCCCAAATTCAATTGAAACCATATTGAATAACTAAGCTTTGTTGGATATTTATAGCCAGACTTATATCAACGGGAATTTACCATTGAATATGTGTGTAATATAGAAACAGCTGTTTATCATCAGCATGCTTTCTGATTCATATCTGTTTGGGCTACTTCAAGAGGGACCGTGGAGGATATAAGCTTAGGGAGAATACAGATGCTCAAATCTGATGTACAGTTGGCTTATTCTTCCTAAGTGGATGGATCCAGAAGGCTTATTGGTGATTGAATAAATATTTTGCATTAGCAGATGATTATGTTTACAAATATTGCATTTTGGTGTTCTGGAATAAACTAAAGTTATACTTGCCTTCCTTAATGTGCATGAAAGCAATTGGTACGTAGAAGGAACTCAAAAAAGTCTGTAGTGTTTGGATCTAATAAAAGTACTTCATTATTGTAGATGTCAGGATCCCCTCTTTATGTATTCCCAAAAATCTGTCCGATAAGAAACTTGTCGCTAGGATTATTCCTGTGAGGGTACTTGCTGTTGTTGTTAGTTGCCGTCAGGTCGGCTCTGACTCACGACAGCCCCGTGGACAACAGAACAAACTGTTACCTGGTCCTGTGTCATCCCCATGATCATTGGCATGTTGGAGTCCATGAGACAATATTGTTGGGCTCCACAGGGTTTTCATTGGCTAATTTTCAGAAGCAGATCACCAGACCTTTCTTCTTAGTTTGTCTTAGTTTAGAAGCTCCACAAAAACCTGTCCAATATGGGTGACACTGCTGGTATTTGAAATACCAGTGGCATAGCTTCCAGCATCATAGCAGTATGCAAGTCACCACCGTCAGACAAACTGACAGACAGGTAGTGGATAAGCCATATAGGCGGTGCTACTGTTAACAAAAAGGATGCTCTCCAGTAGTGTTCTGTACATCATTATCAGGCAAAAATGATACAGAATAATGCATTTTAGCAAATGAGAGGCAGCATGAGGTGGTACAAAGAATATTGGACTGGAAAGCAGCATTGCTATTTGAGGGACAGAGTATAATGTTATGGAAATGGAAGGACGCTCCTTATGGGGGATAAGAAAAAATAGGCCAGCAGAAATGTCACTAGAATTCAGCATAATAGGATTTAGTTCTAATTGCTTCGTGGAAGTTGATACTTTCTAGTTAGGATTTTCTGTGCTGCCCAAACTGGTGGGATAGCAGTTGGCTCAGACAAGATGGGAAGGGGAAGGCATGATGCCCACCAGGGATGGAAGCTCCCACCATGATCATCCCTTTGGTCTTCGTCTCAATTCTGTGGTAAGATAAAGGGATATGAATTTGAAGGACATGTGGATTTTAAAAACTTCATATAAAAATTTCCTTCAAATCCCTGGATTGAAAAGGAGGGACCAAACATAATTCCTTTATCTAATCATGGTGAATAACGCAAGCCTCTGTAAAACCAGAACAGATTGCTAGAAGATAACCTGCATTTTTCAAGAGCTGCCTTTCTTTCAGTTAAGTTAACCTAGCTTATAGACTCCACAAGACTCATGTACCATTCCCTGATCATGTTCAGTTAATCCATTTGAAGGGTAAATATCATATCTATGATTATCTCAAAATTTGGCTCAAAATATATGAATGTAATAGTTACCTTGGGCCTGGAATATCAGGGAGCAAAGGAGGTAAATTACAGGGTTCCCACCCTATAGAGTAGCCTGGTCCTACCCTACTAGAGTGTATGCTCCTTGAGGACAGGAAGTTTTCTGTTTTGGTCACTTATATACCCCTTGTCCTAGTACTGGCCTGACACATAGAGGTGGTCAGTAAATATTATTGACTAACTGGATGGAATGCCTGGGCTGGAGGAAGGGTGCAGATTACTCTGGTCTGTTGACCCTAGGAACTTGATCGATTTCAGTTGTGCACGTGACATCTCCAGGAGTAACTTTGAAAGGCAAAAATTGTTCTCCTCATTGCACAAACCACTCTCGGTCTCCTTCCTGCCCCAACTGCATACTCAGGAGAGAGTCATCAGTCAGGTTAGAAGAGATGAGTCTGTGCATGCAACTCTCACCCCTTTTTGGAAGGTATTTGTCCCTTAGGGGTCTCACCAGCCACGTTTATGCAATTCTTGTGGACCCCGGGCTTATTATAGAATCATTAAATGAGGGTTCTCCCAACTTTTCAGCATCAAGGATAGAGCCTCTCTCACGCAGCATCATGTTATAAAAGAGGCTTATACCATGTTATAAAAGGCTATAAAAGTTCTATGAACTATAGATCTCTCAACCCCAACAAGAGGCCAAAGAGAAGACATTAGAGCAATATAAAGGTTTTGACTACAGACAAAGACAGGGATTATAAGCCAGAATGAGTTTCAAATATTCACTTATCGCAGACTTCCATCCCTGGAAGTAGATGCTCAGAATAGCTCTATCCAAACTTATTTGAGTACTTTCTTTCCTTTTTATTTTATTTTTTTCCACCATGAGTTAACAAGGAAGGAAGGCAGCTGGGAGCATTTCACTGAAGAGAGGAGTATGAGAAGTTATGGTGTGGTAAACATGTACTTATATTTTAGGTCACCATGTTACTCATGTCAGTTATGTGCTCATAATTTGTAAATCTGAGTCACCATTCCAGACCATTGTCTTGAGCTCCAAATCCCTAAACCCAAATGTTAATCTGACATCTCCCCTCAGATGTCTCACAGGTACCTCAAACTCCATGTGCCTAGAACTGAACCCATTTCCTTCCAAATCAGTGGTTCTCAACCAGGAATGATTTTGCACCATCTCCTCAGGGGACACCTGGTGATGTCTGGAGACATTTTTGATTGTCATGAGGGGGTAAGGATGCTACTGAACATCTAGTAGGTTGAAACCAGGGATGTTGGTAAACATCCTACAAAGCACAGGAGAGCTTCTCCTCCTCCCCCCCACCCCACCACCACAGAGAATTATCCAGACCAAAGCTTCAGTAGTGCCAAGGTTGAGAAACTCTGCCCTAAATCTACTCTTCCTCTTTTGATGAACCCAGTGCTTCTCTCCTTTTATTTTACTTTCGTCACCCAGTTGGTCACAGAACCCTCTCAATTCCTTAATACAGCTAAAACCTGAGTCCTTTTGTATGTTGGCAAGATCATTGATTGGTTCATGCCCCCATAATTGTTCACCTGGACTGTCTTTAATTCATTCCTGGCAATGCTGGTTGAGTAATCTTTCTAATCTACAAATCTTCTCTTGTCACCTTCTACCTCTCTGTTGCTTTCCAAACGCTTAACATACAGAGCCTTCATGATCAGAACCCTATTCTCTCCTGCAAACTTCCAGTCTTATCTCTGACCATACCTCCTTTTGCCTCCTAATTACAGACACACCAGAGTTCTTGTAGTTTCCTGAATATATCATGCCTCCCATATGCTTTTGCATACCATCACTCCTCTGCCTGGAAAACTCTTCCTCTATGCAACCAATTTGGAGTTCCTTTCCTTTGGGAGACTTACCCTCTCTCTCTGTCCTTAGTCTGGGTTAGCTGCTCTTCCTAGCTGTGCAGGCAATCTTCTGTTTGCCCCTCCAGAACCTCTGTCTGCTATTTTCCACCCTACTCTGTGCCCCAGGTGGTTGACCTCTGTGGACTTCACCCACAGGGCTCCTTTGCCTTTGGACTTCTGGCCAGGTTTGACTGATGGTAGGTACCAGCAGGAGATCCAAGTGTGGGAGGAAAGAGATTGGGGTCTTTATTCTACTGTTCCCTCCCTGCTGAGCTGTAGCTGGCAGTGGCTTTCTTCTTCCATGTCTGGTAGCTTTCTGCTACAGCTCTATTTCTTGTTGGGCTCCACCAACTGCTCCCTTTTCTTGTCCCTTCAAGCTTACAAATAGTAGCAGCTTCCTTCTTTTGCTAGTCCTGGGGTGCTTCACCATCCCTTACTTCTTCAATTTCCCTTTCCCTCCCCTTGCTAAATAGTCCCTTATTAAATTATCTTCAATCACCCCCTTTGAGTGTGGCATCTACTTTCTGTCAGGAACCTATACTGTATGCTCCTGTAACACCAAAGCATTGTACCATAATTACCTTTTTCACATATTTGCCTTCCCTTCTACACTGTGAGTGGTTTGTGGGCAAGGACTATTTCTTTTCTGCTGTACCTCTGATGCCTAGCATAGAGTTATGATAGGGGCTCTTGTAGAAAAAAGAAGAAGTATATGAATGAATGAAGACACTTCTAATAATCTCACCATCACATGCTCTTCTCTAGACATCCCTCAAGGTTATGACCATTTAGATCCCCAGGAAAACTCCATATTCACTTGAGGTATGCAGAATCAGATAATATGAGTATTTTGTTGCAGTGCAAAGGTTCCTGTCCAGCTTGGCAAACATGATGGAACTTTAGCTAAGCTACTTGGAGCATGAAGAGGATCTGCCAGGAGGAGTATGGGTAGGAAAACAAAGCAAGATAACAAGTTTTCCTTTACTACTGATTTATAAGCAGCCTAAGGATGGGGGTAGAGGTGGGGGCCTGGATTTGGTGGGTTCTTTGTGGGCAAAGGCAATACTGCTCATGATTCAGGGGCCCTGGGGAAAGCCTCTCTATACCTCAGTTTCCCCATTTGTAAGTTAAAAAGGTTGGACTAGATGATTCCTAATGGCCATTTCAGCTCTGTAGTAGACCTCTGTAGATGTTGTCTACCCAATATCTAGTCCTCCCTCTTTTTGATAAGAGACCTCCTTCCTTCCGTCAGTTCATGTGGTCAGATGGGCTGATTCCACCTGTGACTTCAAGGGGGGCATGTGAGGCAGGCCTGGATGATCAGGGCATCGGACTCCCCAGGACAACATGACGGCTCAGGAGTAGGAACATGGTCCTAGCCTAGCCAGTTTTCCATTTCTCTCAGCCATGATGTTAGGCTCAGGAATGGGCATATTATGTACATGGTCCAGTGAGACTTAGTTTGGGTTTTTTTTTTAACTGTTAGGGAAAAGAATCTTCATTTCTGCTAGGATTGCAAAAAAGGACAGAATATAATTTGGGAGCTTCTAGCAACCATCTTGCTACTACCAGAGGAGAACTTGCTTGATAATGGAGCCAGCCCTGTAGAGAACAGAGCCAAGGGATAAAGAGAACAAGACTGGGTCCTGATGACATTTGAGCCCCTGAATACAGCTGTAGCTGAAACCAGTTATCTCTGTACTTCTTAATTACAAGAGTCAATAAATTCTGTTCCCCATTCACTTATTCACTCACTCATTCATTTTCCTTAAGGTGATTTGAGTTGTAGTTGCTGTCACTTTTGACCAAAGAAGTCTTGACCAATACAGAAACTCTGTTGTTGTTCCTTTGGAGCCTTGGTGGTGCAGTGGTTAAGAGCTCAGCTGATAACCAAAAGGTTAGCAGTTCGAATTCACCAGATGCTCCTTGGAAACCCTATGGAGCAGTTCTATTCTGTTCTATAGGGTTGCTATGAGTCGGAATTGATTTGCCAGCAATGGGTTTGGTTTTTTTTCTTTTTGGTATTGTTCCTTTAGATTTTAATTATAAGAAGCCAGACACAAAAGGCCACATACTGTATATGTATAAAATTTGTATGAAATGTCTAGAATAAGCAAATCCATAGAGACAGAAAGTAGGTTAATGGTTGCCGGGAGCTGAGGGGAGAGGGGATGGAGAGTGATTACTAATGGGCACTCAGTTTCTTTTTGGGGTAGTGAAAATATTCGGGAATTAGGTAGGAGTGGTGGTTGCACAACACTGTGAATGTACTATAGTACAACCTGTGAAAGCTGGAAACTGGGTAAGGCGGAAACCTGTCAGAAAAGGAAAACGCAAATATTTTCTACTAAAACGAGCGATAGAAAAGTGGTAAGACTGCACCCTGTCAAAGGCAGAAAACTTGCGAGTCCCAGATAAACAAGGCAGTCCCGTCAAGTTCTGGCTCTCACAGGTTTCACTGTAAATGCTGCTGAACTGTACACTTAAAATGGTGAATTTTATGGTACAGAAATTTTTATCTCAAGTCAAAAATGAGAAAAATTTTTTAATTGTAGTCACTCCTCAAGAGTGAATGGTCTCAACAACAACAAAAATAAAAAAAAGAAACAGTTTGCAGATGAGAGAGGAGGAGAATGGGAACTCTGTATTTTCTGCACAATTTTTCTGTAAACCTAAAACTGCCCTAAAAAATAAAGTCTATTAAAGAAAAAAAAAGAAATAGAGTGAACGGAAGCACTTGGTCTTCCTCACTTCCCTTGCCATGGAGAGTAGAAGTTATAAAAGTAAGTGCTTCAGAATTTTAAAATGCTTTATTTCAGGGAAGTACAAAAGGTAGTGAAATGCAAGTGAAAGGAACATAATGTAACCCAGCATAGCAGAGGAAATGGGCACCTAGTTTTGTTTTCCAACTACAAACATGAATGGGGATGTCATTATTTAAGATAAGACATGGTAAGCACAAAACTGTAGCTCACTGGGCACTGTGCTCCCTCAACTGATCTAGAAATTATGAGACAATCAGTGGCGATATCACTTGAACTGTAGCATCCATCTCAACACAAGGTTTCTGTGTTTTATTTACCAGATGACCAGGAATCATACACTAGTTTGGCTGCAACTGTGTCCTCCACCGCCATTCCTAAAATGAAGAGAAATTTGGTTCATTTTTTGTCAGAATTAAGTCTTCCTGAAACAACCCAAGCCCTCTGACTAGCGGTTTCCTGAGATGGTGCCCAAGCTGCCAAGGGGCAGACAGGCCACTGGGAGTCCATCCTTTGTTGGGCTTATGCCTGCAAAAACTCAGGTGGGAATATGGCTTCCCAGGAAAGCCCTCCTCCAATCAGCAGGCAGGAGGGTAGGAAAGGAGGAAACGAAGGTCTCAAGCTGTACTTTCTGTCTGGCTCTCTTTCAGACCCATTTCTCTTAAGCTCCCTGCCTTTTCACATTTTTATTCCTCACCCCTACCACTGAAGAATATCTTCTTCTGAGTTTCATTTAGACATAAGTCAAAATGATTGACTGCTGACACTTGCTATGTGCAAATGTTTTATGTGCACATCTCAATCCTCATGACAACTCAAGCTAAGAGGTGGTAAAGAAACCATGACTCACAGAGGTTAAGTCACCTGCTTGAGGACATATGCCCAGTGAATGGCAGAGAAGGCTTTGAACCCAGGACTGCCCAATTCCAAAGTTCATGGCTGAATCACTACACTAAAACATGTAAATAATTCATGCAAGTGATGGAATTCACAGTGATTCATCTACAGAGCCTGGTGAATCATTATTCTTCCCACTGCTTAGCTAATTTGTGTTCTGGTTAGATTTGTGACTAGGGAGCAGTAGCTCTTACCCAAAGACTTGAACACTGTGGTCTTCTCACACTGGGCCGGCTTCACTCCCTTCACCACTTCTCCCAGCTCAGCGAAGATCTCTGCCTGTGAAACAAACACACACTGACCTAGGCCATGACACGGAAGTCTGCTGGGGGCCGGCTTCTGAAGCCAGCCCAGGGCATCCCAGAACTGCATAAGGGATGAACTTGATAAAAAGTCCATTTATGAACTAGATTACATCAGGGAGAATGCTTCCTCCTGAAATTCCTTTTTGGGTAGCATCTGCCTTTGTGAGACTGTGAACACAGAGATCCACATTTGTGGCTGGGTGAATTTCCTGCCAAGTCACTGTGTCAGTGAGGAAATGGGCATGTTCTTATCTAAACACTCATTTTGGCAGCCTCTTTCTTGGTTCTATGCCCTGATTAAAAAGAAAAAAAGGCCATAAGGTGGTCAACCATGGTTATATTGTGCTGGCCACATTGGGAAGGCTTTTAGGCTGCAAAAGTCTCCCATATCGCAATCCCACTGTCCTATAGAACAGTCCAGTCCAATGGGAAAATCCCTGAAGCCTCCCTCTCCCAGCAGAGGGAAGAGGAAAACACATAATGTCATCACCATAATGGTCACATTATTCTGGAAGGGGATTAGAAAGGAGCTGGTTCCCCCACAAGGAGGTGGAGGTGACCAAGGTCTGGAGCAGGCCAAACTGAAGAAGAAATTAAACTCTGGGATCCAGGTGAGGCCAGCTGGGGCAGCAGCCCTCCAGAAGACGATGCTCACCCCTGACAAGAGCACATCCCCAGACTCCTTGAGGGCGGCCTCCTTGGAGTCCACATACAGCACAGCTTGTTTCATCAGCTCACCATCCAGTTCTCTCCAGTCAGGTCTGCTGGCTCCAATGGCTACAAGACACAGAAGCAATCCCTAAGCCTAGGAGCACCTCCAAGGGTTACTGAAAGTGCCAAAGCATGGAAGAGGGGTGAGGCCGGGTGAAGAAAAGAAGGTGACAAAAGACATGAGGGAACATTCAGTTTTGGAGCACTTCCTCATTTCCCCAAGTCGAGCCTCTCCTGATCAACAAAACTGAATACTTCTTAATAATAATCATACCTACCATTTTTTTCCTTTCCATTTCCTATCCCACCTCATTCCTAAAAGGGTTTGAGATGACTTGGCATTCATTTGCTGAGTGCCTACTATCTGTGGGATGTTTTACACATACTATTTATAATCCTTACAAGTGAACTTCAATATCTGGTTCCCACTGAACAGATGTGGAAATTGAGGCTCAGAGAAGTGAAGGTGCTTTCTAAGGTTCTGTATCCAGTAAGTGAGTCCAGGTCTGTGAGAGCGCCATGCCTTTCTCTCCTTTCCCACTTACAGAGAACAATGACTTCCTTGCAAAAACACTGAAACTGAGATACCCTTGGAGTTTATTCACACCCTCTACCTTCTGTCTGTCTGCTTGCTCTTCAACAATTCCCGTTCCTCATCCCCAGCTGCTTCTCTCTTAACTCAAGACAAAAGAGCCCAGTGTCAGGGTCACAAAGAAGCCTCAATAAAAAGAAAACTGAGTTCATCCTGGCTCAGAGCTTTTTTATCCTCTGCAGAACCTGGGACCTTAACAATGACTCCAGGGTATCCTGCCTGCTGGTACCAGGACATAGGCTGATGCTGAAGCTGCAACCACAGGCCTTCAGGGATCAGGTAGGTAATAGAAATGAGCAAAGTGAGTCAGAGGACTAGACTGGGAATGGGAGAGACCAAGGCACACAGAGAAATGCAGGCCTTCTAAAGAGGACAGTCATTGTTCAGCTCCAGCTAATTGTTGCCATGTGAGAATGCAAGCCCATTGCTATCGGATATCCCTTTTTAAAAAGAGAAACAGGAAATCTATTTGCATGTGATGTTTTTCAATTTTTAAAACACACTGTGGCCCAAAGAAAACACATCTGCTGGCTGGATCTAGCCCATGGCCAGCCAGTCTTTGGAAACAGCTATAGAGCCTTACATAAATATATGCAGCATTCACATGCCTTCTCACACTGCCGTCCAGGTTTTCTTTACTTGTTCCCTTTCCTGCTGTTCTCCCTCGCTCTAATTTCCAAAGAGAGTGGTTAAAAAATGTCCATCTTGAAGACTGTTTGTGTGGGAAGTTCTATAGAACAAAAGTACTAGTTAATGAAGCTTGTAAATAAATCATAAGCTGGTGGGAAAAGCCCCAGGTTCTCAGGCCACCCCTTCTTGCTGCACTGTTCCCCTAAGACAGCCACTACTTCTGAGCTGGCAAGTTGTCAAAGGGTTGTGTGAGGCCACTCAGGCAGATGGAGGTGGGCCAGGCGGGAGAGGGAGGGACCTGACTCAGACTGGGCTCTAGCTTTGCTTTCAGTGGGGCTAGCATGGATCAGTCCTTAGGTGGTGCAAATGGGTAATGGGCTTGGCTGCTAACTGAACAGTTGGTGGTTCAAGTCTACCTAGAGATTCGTCGGAAGAAAGGTTTGGTGATTTACTTCTGAAAAATCTGCCACTGAAAACTTTATGGATCTCAGTTCTACTCTGACACAGAGTCAACTCGACTTCAACTGGTAGAATGGGTCAGAAGACTAACAATGGTGGCAGGTGAGGAAAAGATAAGGGAAGTGTGGAGGAGGTTAGGATTGGGCCTGCCTCTTAGCCAAGCTATAAAGTAAGTAAAATATGTCGGTAGTGTTTCTAATTTGTTGGCTGCACTTGTAACACACTTTTCTTAAGTATATTTGAAGCCTCTGTGAATGCATAAACCAATTTTATCCCTAGGTCAGGGAAATATAAGAGATGCCTTGACTCAAAATCAAGTCAGCGCATCCTGGTGAGAGAGGCAAAGAGTGAGATGGATTTGATGTGAGGAATAGTCTCTGTTGCTGGCTTTGAAGATGGAAGGTCCACATGGCAAGGAATGTGGGTGGCCACTAGGAGCTGAGAGTGGCCCCAAGGAAATGGAAACCTCAGTCCTACAACTATAAGGAACTTAATCCTGCCATAATCATGTGAGTTTGGAAGAAGACCCCAAGCTCTAGAAGAAATCATAGCCAGACAACACTTTGATTTCACCCTTGTGAGACCCTAAGCAGACAACCTAGCTTACCCATGCCTGGACTCCTAAACCACAGAAACTGTGAGGTCATGAATGTATGTCGTTTTAAACTGAAAAAAAAAAATCAATTCAGCCTTGCTGAAGATTCCCTGGGAACCCATTTCACTAAGAAGTGGTTCCTCTTGATTTCTCAATTCCTTCCAGAAATCGTCTTACTGTCCATAAAGCCAGCCTCGACCCACCAATCAAGTGCATTAACCATTTGCACCCAGCAACTCCTGCACTTGGCTGCTAACTGAGAGGTGGGAGGTTCGTGTCCTCCCAGAGGTCCCTGGAAAAAAGGCCCGGTGATTTGCTTCTGAAGAATCAACCATTAAAAACCCTAAGGAGCACAGTTCTACTCTGGCACGCACACAGGGCTGCCATGAGTTGCAGTTGACAGCAACTGGCCCCTTGGTTTACCTACCTATAAAATGGGGGTTATTATAATAATAGTTCTACATCATAAGGTTGTTGTACAGATTAAATAATACATATAAAGAACTTATAACAGCACCTGGCAGTAAGAAGTATTCTATACAGACTAGTTCTTATCGCCCCAGGGCGATTTTAAGATCTTCAGAGGCCCTAGGCCCTCTTAGAATCCCTCCACCCCTTATCCTATCACACAGTAAAAAGCATCTACATGCCACATGTCTTTTTACTGTATTTTTTTTAAGTTTTATTAAAAACAAATGACTTCCTTGACTTTTGTGACTTAAACTTTATCACATTTAAGAATTGAACTGTGGTTGACCATTTGGTATAATATTACTTTTGTTAGATCCTTAACTAAATATTAATTTCAGGTTTGCAATTTTCTTTTTGTATTTTGGAGACAGTATTGTTTTTTGGGTCTCACACGTGTCCATGTTGTTGCTGTGTGCTGTCGAGTCGATTCCAACTCATAGTGACCCTATATGACAGAGTAGAACTGCCCCATAGGGTTTCCTAGGCTGTAATCTTTATGGGAGCAGATAGTCAGGTGTTTTCTCCCATGGAGTGGCTGGTGGGTTTGAACCACCGGCCTTTTGGTTAGCAGCTGAACCATTGTGCCACCAGTTCTCCTTACATGTTTCCACAGGCCCTTGAAAAGCTTGGGCATTCTGCATCATGAATCAAATGGCTCTCACATGCAGCCCAGGGAAGAGTCTGCCCACCACCTGCCCCTGGCTCGTGGAGTCACTCTACTTACCATTGATATGAGCCCCTGCCTTCACCCACTGACCAAACAAAATGGGTTCTGTTGCCATGGTGACTGTGATGATCACATCTGCACCAGTCACAGCCTCCTGGACCGATGAACAGACTCGTACTGCTCCTTGCACTGTGTTTGCAAACTTCTCTGCATTTTCCTTTGTGCGGTTCCATATCCTCACCTTCATTAAGGGGAACAAGAGGGACATTGGTGCCATGTTTTTGCTGTTTACATTACACCAAGCCCAAGGGTACCAAGAGAAAGCTGAACCCCTCTGGAGTAGAAGCTGCGGTTATCTAAATCATTCCCTGTGGAGAATGGGCGTTTGATAACATTAATCTGGACAGGTGCCTATCTAAACCAAAACAAAACCCATTGCTGTCAAGTCGATTCCAACTCATAGTGACCCTATAAGACAGAGTAGAACTGTCCCACAGGGTTTCTAAGCACTTAACCACTGCACCACCAGGGCTCCTATCTAGGTACTTGAAAATGAGCTTTCTCTACCACATTCCCCTTTACAGAAGATTGGAAATGTTTCAGTTCTAGCCTGAGCCATACACCTCAGTAATTTAATAGGTACTAGACAGTTTGATGATTAGCAGAGAAAGTTCAAATGTAATAAATACAGAAATAAAGTTTATATCCAAGTAAGTTCAACAAGGAGCTTTGGTGGCATGGTGGTTAAAGCGCTTGGCTGCTAACCACAAGGCCAGCAGTTTGAACTCCCCAGCCACTCTGCAGGAGAAAGATGTGGCAGTCTGTTTCTGTAAAGATTTACAGCCTCAGAAACCCTATGGGACAGTTCTACTCTGTCCTGTTGGGTTGCTATGAGTCGGAATTGCCTCGACGGCCATGGGCTTGATTTTTGGAAGTTCACCAACCAACATACAAATAATATAATACACCCAGCCATAAGGGAATGGTTAACAATGATACCCTTCTTGATGGAAAATTATGCAAATATTATGCACAAATGAGATAATCTGGAAAAGTAATGATGTTAGAACATTCAGTGAAAAGATAGGATAGATAATTGAATATACCTAATGTGATTAAAATTATATTTTAAAAAACTAATGATTAAGATAACTAAGATTGGAAAATGTTAGCTGCTTGTCTTTGAAAACAGGTAACAGTGTATTTTTATTTTTCTTGCTTTCTTCCCTATAGTCTCTATTTCCCAAAGCAGATAGATATATTACTTTTATCATGAAAATACATTTGGTCCTTCCCAACCCTCTCACATACATACAAAAAATAAAATAAAAGGAGCGTAGAGCATTCCCAGAAGAAAGGAGAGCCATGACTGGGGAAGGTAGACCAGTATCTAGAGCGCAGAGGAGGGATGCTCGGACTCATGGTGACCCCGTGTGTTACAGAGTAGAACTGGCTCCATGGGGTTTTCTTGACTGTAATCTTTATGGAAGCAGATGGCCAGGCCTTTCTTCTGTGGCACCACTGGCTGGGTTCAAACTGTTGAGTGCAAACCATGTGTGCCACCCAGGGACTGGATCCATAACCCTGAATACCTAAAGACTCACAGAAGCACAGAGAGGAGCCAAAAGGACCGTGCATATAATAGATATAATATAATCCTTTAACTAACTAAGTAGACTGGCTGTATCCTCAAGTATACCCCGTGAACACGGAAACTGGAAAGACGTGATTTAGGCCTTCTCTCCTACTCTCCACCTCCAGTGAGACTACTGGGGAAGTCATTAAGGTAAAAGAATGGTCTAGATCAGACTTTCGAACTAATATTTCAGAGCAACCCATGTTGCCTGTGAAGGAGTATAGACAAAAGTCACTGGCCGCTCCCTTCCCCCTTCTCCCCGGCCACCCCTAGGCTTACCTCCTTAAAGGAGAATTGCTCTGTGAAGACCTCATAGTGGCTGTAGGCCTGGACTCCAGCCCCAAGGATGCACAAAATTTCACTGCTGGGGTGCTTCAAAAACTATTTGAGAGTCACAAGGCAAAAAAGGTCAAGGGAGACATTAGCCAGTAGCCAGCTGAAAGGTAAAAAACAAAGAGTTTAAGTATCAAGAGCCCTCAGGCAATCAGAGAGTCATCACTTGTGTTTCAGTTCTCCTCCATGGAGTGGGGAAGGAAAGAAGGAACCTTCACTGAGCACCTAATATATGCCACTGCTTTACCCCCATTATCTCATTTTGTCCGGACAACGACCCTATGAGCTAGACTGTTGTTGTTAGCTGCTGTGACTCATGGCGACCCCATGCACAGCGGAAGGAAGCACTGCCCAGTTCTGAGCCCTCGCCATGACTGGCTGCAGATCAGATCATTGGGATCCACAGGGTTTTCCATTGGCTGTTTTTTTGGCAAGTAGATTGCCCGGCCTTTCTTCCTAATCTGTCTAAGTCTCAAAGCTCCACAGAAACCTATTCAGCATCATAGCAACGCGGAAGCCATCACTAACAGACAGGTGGCTGTGCTTGAGGTGCACTGGCTGGGAATCGAATCCAGGTCTCCCACGTGGAAGGGGAGAATTCTACCACTGAACCACCACTGCCCTCCCAGAATACGATTAGTGGCACATTATTATTTTCCCATAAGCATGCACATAATTAAAAATTTACATATGAATCTGCTAGATTTATCACTGAAACAAAGAATTTGAAAGTCTATGTTTTGTTTGCATTCGCCAAGACTTTGCATGTACTTCATGTCTTCCTACCACATTGGCTTCCTTACAGTTGCTCAGGTACACATGACTCCTTTAAACACAGGGCCTTTGCACACGTTCTTTCCTCCGCCCAGTAATGCTTTCCCCTCTGCCCCTCACAAGTAACAATTATTATCCTTTAAGTCTCGTTCAAATCTCTCTTCCACAAGAAAAGCCTTCCCCAATCCTATAGATTAAGCCCCCAACCCCCCAAAAAAGCCAAACCCATTGCCATCAAGTTGATTCCAACCCATAGCGACCCTATAGGACAGAGTAGTACTGCCCCATAGAGTTTCCAAGGAGTGGGTGGTGGATTCGAACGGCTGGCCTTTTGTTTAGCAGCTGTAGCTTGCTATAGCTCTTAACCACCGTGCCACCAGGCCCCGTCAACTAGATTAAGACCCCTATTTTACGCTCACATAGACTTCACACCTTTCATTCAATGTACTTGTCAGGGTTGTGATTTCACATGTATTGGTGTAATGTTTAGGTTACTGTTTGTCTCCCCCACTGGATCCTGCACTCCATGATGGCAGGCACCGTGTCTGGTTTTGCTTACCATTCTGTGTCCCTTGCTGGGCACAAGGCCTGACACCTGGTGGGCACTCAAATATCTGCTGAATGAATGCATGGCAGGATAAACCCTCGTATATGTTGTTACCTTGAAAAGCATGACAGAATCCCCACCTAAAGTTTCGTGAAACCCAAACACAAAGAAGTTATAATGTCAGTTAGACGCCAGATCTTCCTGTACACCTCATCCTCCTCCCAGATGCCCAAAATGAAAGAAAAGAGGTTTGTAAAGAAAACATTCTACTCCCAGCAAGGTAAAAAGTAAACCAGACCTTTGTTCCTTATTGAAATAGCCCATCTGAACTGAGCCACTGAGAATGATGAATAAAGTTTCAGCCTAAACTCTGAGGTTGAACCCAACTCTCTCTTCTGGAAGTGTAGATTTTTACCAATGCAACAAAGCACAGTGTTACTGACAGCTGGGTCTAGAACAGTGTGGTTCCCAAATCTAGCTGAATATCAGAATCAACCGGGGACTATTAAAAAAGTAGTTTCCTGGGCCCCTAACCTCAGAGACTTCGAATAGTTCTGGGAACCCCAGAGGATGCTGCTGTATAGCTAGGGTTGGAAATGACTGAGCTGGGATAAGACCAGGCAGCCTTGGAAGACCCCATAACTACCTTGTTATGTGACTTCAGGACAACCCTAGTCTCCATTTCCTTCTGTGCTAAATGAGGCCCGTAAGACTCGCTTTGCCTTCCTGACAGAAACTCAAAGATAAGACAATGGGTTAGAGATGATTTTGAAAAAGACCAAAGGTCTTTACAAAATAAGGCGGGGCTATTAGAGTTGTTCTGTTTCTAATCTACCAGAGAGCCTATCTCCAAGTCCCTTGATTATTTCAATCTGAGTCGCGTCTGGGTATAATTAAAAACCACTTCCCCAAGGTGGGTACTATAGGCCACACCTTTCATCTGCAATTACTAGATTAATCCTCACATTCTTCCCTCCCCATCATCTATTTAGGAAACCTTAACATACAGTCTGAACACTTGGCTTATGCTGCTCCAACCCTCCCCCAGATCACCACACTTCCTTAACGTGTAGGCCTCATAAACCAATGTCCCAAGACCATGTACTCCATTTATTGTGAAAGGTTCTGGACTCCAATTGTTCCCACAGACACCCAGTTTTCTAAGCCTCTTCTTCTTAACTCTAACCTCCCAAAATGTTGTTTTTCTTGTAAGATGCCCTGACGTATTTCCTGTAGGAAGAATGCTTGTGAAGTACCTGGAATACTGTTTAGGAAGCTCACTGTCTTAGTTATCTAGTGTTGCTATAACAGAAATACCACAAGTGGGTGCCTTTAATGAACAGAAATTTGTTTTCTCACAGTTCAGGAGGCTAGAAGTCCACATTCAGGATGCTGGCTCTAGGGGAATGTGTTCTTTCTCTGTTGGCCCTTGGGAAAGGTCCTTGTCTCTTTTCAGCATCTGTAGGCCTGGCATTCCTTGGCTTGTTGGTGATCTTCATGTGGCATGGCATCTATCTTCCCCAACTGTGTTTCTTTGCTTGCTTGTTTAATCTCTTTTATATCTCAAGAGAGTGACTTAAAACACACCCTACACTAATACTGTCTCATTAACGTAACAAAGAAAACCCATTCCCAAATGGGGCTATAACCAAAAACCCACAGTTATCGAGTCCATTCTGACTCACAGCGACCCCATAAGGTTTCCAAGGCTATAGATCTCTATGGAAGCAGACAGGCACATCTTTCTCCTGTGGAGACGCTGGTGGTTTCGAAGCACCAACCTTTCGGTTAGCAGTTGATCGCTTTAACCACTGCACCACTAGGGCTCCTTAACAACAGGTATGGGGGTTAGGATTTACAACACATATTTTTGGAGGACACAATTCCAACCAGAACACCCACCATCCCCATTGTGGCTGTTCTTTCTACCTTGAATTTTCTTCCTCCACATTTTTGCATGATTCACTTGCTCACCTTTTTCAGTCTTTACTCAAATGTCACCTTCTCAGTGAGGTCTTTCCTGGATAATTTACAATTTCACTCCCTCCCCAATACTGTGTGTTCCATTCTCTGTTTCAATCACTACTGTATCCTTAACATTTAGAACAGCGCCTGATGCATGGAAGGAGCTCAGTTAACACTGATTGAGTGCATATACCAATCTGGCTCAGATCTGTTCGGCTCACCCTTCTGCCACTTGTCCAGCACTGGCTGTAGCCTAGAAGCTGACCACACTGGTTTACTAGGAGCAGTGTGGTACAGGGACAAGAAAGCTATTCTAGGAGCCAGAGAGGTCAAGTTTTAAATTCTTGCTCTGCCACTCACTAGCTGTGTGACCCTAGGCAACTCACATAACTTCTCTGAGCTGCAATGCCTACACCTGGCAAATGGAGATGATTACATCGACTTTGCAAGGTTGATGTGAGGGTTAGGAATAACGCCTGGAAAGTACCTGGAACTTAGTCATGCTCAATAAATGGTAGCTATTAATTTCTGTCAGTTGGTCATACTGTGGTGGCTTGCATGTTGCTGTGATGCTGGAAGCTATTCCACTGATATTTCAAATACCAGCAGGGTCACCCATGGTGGACAGGTTTCAGTGGATCTTCCAGACTAAGACAGACTGGAAAGAAAGGCCTGGCGATCTACTTCTGATAATTAGTCAGTGAAAACCCTATGGATCATGACAGAATATTTGCCTAATATAGTGCTAGAAGAGGAGCCCCCTAGGTTAGAAAACCAAAAAAACCAAACTTGTTGCCGTCTTGTCGATTCCGACTCATAGCAACCCTGTAGGACAGAGTAGAACTGCCTCATAGGGTTTCCAAGGAGAGACTAGTGGACTTGAACTACCAGCCTTTTGGTTAGCAGCTGAGTTCTTAACCACTACGCCACCCCAGCAACAAGGCACTCAAAATACACCGTGGCCACAACAATGGACTTGAGCATACCAGTGATCTTGAAGATGGTATGAGACTGGGTCAACATGAGTTGGAGCCGACTCAATGGCAACTAACAACAACAACAATTAATTTCATGAATCGCTGTACTTACCCGACATCCCATATTTGGCATATGGAGTTCCAGCTCTATTCAAAGTAAGACCAACATAGGTTCCTAACTTCTCGCTTAGTTGAACTTGGTATACCACACTCCACCTACCAGCTTGCCTTATAGCACAGCCAGCCACTAATCTTACCTTGGTGGCGATGGCAGATGCTGCAGCTGTTCTCTTTGCAGTTATGACATTTCCATCCATGACCTTGTAAAGAAGGGAGACAGTGAGCAAGGGGCACCCCATCCACTACTTAAGCTGAGAGAAGCATCTCTCAAAGACCAGCCCTAAGAAGTTTTATAGTATGCTACAAAGAGCCTGGGTTTGGTGTCAGACCTGGATCCAATTACTCCACTTATGAAATTTGCAACTTTGAACAAATAGCTTAATCTCTAAGCACTGGTTTCCCTACCTGTAAAAATAAAGACAATGCCAACCATTCAGAGGGTTATTGTGAGGATTAAATGCATTGGCATATATGAAAACATCTAGCACATGCCAAGCCCCCAAGAACTGCCTATTTTCTTTTCTTGCCCTGGGACTCTTGAATAACCAAATTAAGGAGGGACTTGAGGGATAGGATTAAGTCATCTGACATCTGTGCAAGGGCAATGAAGCCCTGCTGTGTTGGTGTTGTGTGCTGCCGAGTCAATTTTGACTTATAGCGACCCTGTAGGACAGAGTAGAACTGCCCCATAGGGTTTCCTAGGCTGTAATCTTTACGGGAGCAGATCACCAGGTCTTTTCTCTCACGGAGCGCCTGGGTGGATTCGAAACATCAGTCTTTCGGTTAGCAGCCAAACACTTAACAATTGCACCACCAGGACTCTATGAAACTCTACCCCAGTGGTTCTCAAGTTCTGTTGGACACATGGGGAGCTTTTTGAAGATACAGATGCCCAGGCTCAACCTTTGGATTAACTGAACTGAATCTCTAGGGGTAGGACCTAGACATTCTTGCTTTTAAAAGGTCCCGGGTCATTCTGATGCACAGTGAGGGTTGAGAATTAAGGTCTGGATAATGACAATACCCACCCTTTGCACTATTCTCCCCTGCTGGTAAGTTATTCATCTCAGTGGACCCTCCCCAGGGAGGTATCATTATTCTCATTTTACAGATGAGGAACTGAGTCACTTAGCTACGGAGAAGATTCAGCAAGGATCTAAAGCTGTGATATCTAGTTTCAAAGCTGGCTGCTCCCACTGGGGAACCACTGTTGGTAGGTAGTATGGGTGTCACCTCCAGTGGGTGAGGATAAGTTGGGAAGAGCTAGAGACTTCTTAGAGGACTAATGAACAGCTAGATTCCTTGAGGAGCTAGAAATTCAGGGGGAGAGAAAAAGGGGCCCTAAGGATTCAAGGAAGGACCAGGTGGAATTAAGGGGAGTCTCCCACAACGTCTCAACTGCCTGGTCTCAGAGCCAGCTTGGGGTTACAGGGCACAGAAGTTAAGGCACAAGCTCCACAGTCAGACAGACCCAAGGACTGATGCTGGGTCTTTCACTAACCAGCTGTGTGACCTCAAGCAAAGTGGCTCTACCAACTGGAGTCTGGAGCCTCGGGGACCTCAACAAAAATGGGAGGTGAGGGAGGTGGGCTAATAAAAACTCCCACAGAGGAATGTTGTCAGAATTGAATGAGGTTGGTATCTCCTGCCCTGCACATGATAAACACTCAACAAGTGGCAGTTAAAAAGGCAGTAGAACATGTAGAAATTGTTGGAATTAAAAAAAAAAATAGTTTCCAAAATTAAATTCTGAACCTCTTGAAAAAGAACAAATAAGCAAAAAAAGACCCAAAAAACAAAAAGGCAGTCGAGCCTAGTATTAAAAGAGTATAGGTGCTGAGGTTAGACTCACTACGGTTGAAGCCCAGCCATGCCACTGATCAGCTATGTAAACCTGGATCAGTTGGGTATAGGTGCCCTGTGACTCAGTTTCCTCATCTGTAAAATGGGGGTAATAATATTAGCTGCCTCATAGAGTGGTGATAAATATTAAGAGTTAATACATGTAAGGTGTTTAGAACAATGCCTGACACATAGTAAGTACTCTGTAAAATTGAGCTACTGCTATTTTTTTGGATACCATGATTAGGTGTTAAAACAGGTCACTGTGAACTCCTCAGAAAAGACTCTCAGGGTTTGCAGAACACCCCCTCTCTTCCATGTTGACAGAGATTTGCTAAATAAATGTTTCCCTGGCTACTGGGCTCTTTCAAGCTGTTTATGTGGGGTGACTGGGTATTTGATGAGAATGACAAGATTATTACTTCCACACTGTCCCGCACTTGAAGCAGCAGGGGGTTCTGGGGCTGGATGATGCATCCTCAGGCAGTCCGAGAAACACATGCACCACCACACATAACCTTGACTTAAAAGCCATGTGAGCTCACAGTCAAAACTGCTGCTCACAGAGAACTAACTTCTGAGCCTGCCTCTGGGTCGGGGGATCCCTCTCCACCCCAGGGCAGGGAGTTGCTCACCGCCAGCAGGGTGCCATTGCTGGGCTCAAAGAGTAGCACAGTGGCCTGGTGGGAGGGGACGGTGGAGGTGGTGCCGTGGCCCTCGTAGAAGGTGATCAGCTTGGTGGTCAGGGCATCCTCTGCTGCACTGTAGGCGGACATGACCCCCAGGAAACTACAAGGAGAAAGGAAGCCACTTCAATCCTTTCCCAGAAATCCTGGGGTCTATCAAACCCCTATACACCTTCAGGTCTCTTTCCTGAATCACTGCCCTGCTGGCCCTCTCCCTGCTCCTCCCCCCTCCCTGTGCCCTTCCCTCATGCATATGCATAATATGTTGAAGAGTTTGGCTCTGGATGAGAAAAACTAGGTCATTCTCCCAGCTCTGCCACTTACTAGCTGTGTAACCTTGGATAAGTCACTTGACTTCTCTGAGTCTCAGTGTTACCACCAGTAAAATGGTGGTATCACTATCTACGGGGACAGCGTGCAGAATTAAACAAGGTAACGCCTGCAAAGCGCCCACTTAGCACGGTGGGTAGCACGTGTCAATTGGCAGTCGTTATTAGCAATCATTAGCAGTCCCTTCTGCCTTCTCCCACCGCTTCCCTTGCACCCCTCCTCTTCCTCCTGCCTAGTTTCTCCTGCCCCAGCCCGCGGCCTTCCTCACTCACCCCCTATGTTTGGCCACCGGCAGCACGGTGCGCAGGGGCTGCATGACACCTCCGTCCGGGCCGCTGGAGAAGTTGGCCAGAGCCGCCTCCAGAGACTGGATGAGGAGGCTGGAGCTGCGGAGATGGCTCTGCACCTCGGCGGCACTCAGGAATGCTGGCGCGGAGCTCATCTTGCCGCTGGCCTTCTAACCACAGACCCGCACCGCGCTCCGCGCTCCGCGCTCCGCGCTCCGCACACCCGGGCTGCACCGCTATTTATGAGCGCGCCGGCAGTGCGGCGGAGTCACCTACCCGGCTCGGGCCCAGCCTCCAGGAGAGGGGAAGGCGGAGCAACACCGCCCCCGCCCCTTGAGCCTGTCACCACCCTCTCCGCCCACGCCAACCCCCGGGTGGAGGAGTGGGTCCCCTCTACCAACTAATTCCCCAAGATTGGACTCGAGACGGCCGGCAGGGAGTTGGTGTCCTTGGGTCCACTTTCTCAATTCCTGTAATTAGCTGCAACCATATTCTTTGTAAGGCGTGTTAGTAAAGGGCTTTGGCGAACCATCTCCCCCTCCGCTATTTGCTGTCCCTGTCGCCTTCCCTGGGAAAGCGGAGACTGGGGAGATGGGGCAAACGATGGCTGGGCTCCCTTGTCTTTTAAGTTATTGCTTGCTGCTGGGAGAGCTTAGATGAAAGGAGACAGAGGAGTATTAACAACCATTTTCTTTTCAATACTGCCCCCATATGGAGTCTCTTATTTGAATCTCACCCTGGCTGGTGATTGCTTTAAGTGCATAGTTTTCCCTCGGGTACTAACCTAACTAACCGCCAACCTGCAACAAGAGATACGTTCCCAGGGCAAGGTGTAGTGGCCTGGTGCACACCAAGAGCCAAAGTGCACAAGACAACATATGTCTTTTCTTCAAGGAGTTTATACTTGAGATGGGGAAATAAGACAGTGTGCACGTGGGAAGGTAACTAACAATGCAGGGCAGTGTTAAAATAATATTAAGCCAATAATAGAAACTGATTTGAAGATTATTTAATATAAACCTATTGCCAGGGAGTCAATTCCGACTCATACCAACCCTGTAGGACAGAGTAGAACTGCCCCATAGGGTTTGCAAGGTGTCATCTTTACAGAAGCAGACTGCCACATCTTTCTCCTGTGGATTGGCTGGGGGCCAACCGCAGAACTTTTGGTTAGCAGCTGAGCGCTTAACCACTGTGCCACCAAGGCTACTTTATTTAATATATGATTTGCAAATCAGGCAACACTTTTGACTAGAGAGTCAATGTGTTGCAAAGACGAAAGAATGTCCAAAAATTCTCGTACCCTACATTATGACATTGCCATGGAAAAGGGCTGGAACAGTGTTTTCATATTAACAGTTCACCATAAAACACAGCTGCCAGTCTGACCCTGGAGTTTCTGTTTCTTTCTTTTTTTTTTATTGTACTTCAGGTGAAGGCTTACAGAACAAATAGTTTCTCATGAAACAGTAGTACACATATTGTTTTATGACATTGGTTA